TCAGGCAAACTCAGTAGGCATGCTACTAGAAGGAATAGCAGTTCAGTTTTGCGGGGGAGGTTTGCTGATTATTCCCATGGCCTAAGCTTGTTTTATCTCTTAGAGACAAGGCTCCTGCCATTAGGAGATTTTATAGCTCTCTGCCTCCCTCTCCTACCCTTCCTTCTTCCTTCCTTTTTACAATGGAAATTTTCAAACGTATAGAAAAATAGAGAAAATAATATAATGAACCCTCATATTGCTATGATCCGGCTTCAACAATTATTAACATTTTGCTAATTTTGTTTCATTTATTTATGTTTACACATTTGTATATGGATATACAGTCATGCACCACATAATGACATTTCTGTCAACAATGGACCTCATATACAACGGTGATTCCTTTAAGTTATAATGGAGCTGAAATATTCCTATTACCTAGTGATGTAGCCGTCATACCATCACAGTGCAATACATTACTCACTTATTTGTCATGATGGTGGTGTAAACAAACCTACTATGCTGCCAGTCTTATAAAAGAATAGCACATACAATTATGTACAGTACATTAAACGACTATGTTACTGGTATATGTATTCGCTAAACTTTTATTGGTATTTTATTTTAGAGTATACTCTTCTACTTATTATAAAAAAAGTTTGCTATAAGAGTATACCGTGTTATGCCAGCAGCAGCCTCATACATTTCATCTTTACCTCATCTCTTGATTGCATCGTTTTTTTCTTGCACGTGATTTACTTTCATTCTTGTTTTGTACAGTAACATGCTGTACAGGCTTATAGCCTGGGACCGATAGACTATACCATATTGCCTAGGTATGTAGTAGGATATACCATCTAGTTTTATATAAGTACACTGATGTTTGCACAAAGGCAAAAATCGCCTAACGACACATTTCTCAGAACACATCCCTGTCATTAACTAGCACATGACTGTCTGTACATGTGTATATATGTGTTTGAGTCTATATATTTTTTCATGAAATATTTTACAAGTCCCAGACATGTCATTTCATCAGAATATTCTTTAGTATGCATTTCTAATAGGTAATGACTTCTTTCCTAACTGCAATGTCATCATACCTTACAAAATTAACAGTAATTTCTTGATAATATTTTTCACCCAGTTTATATTCCTCTTTACATGGTTCTTACAAAATAGCTTTTGATTGTTGGCTTATTATAGGATCCAAACAAGGTTTACAGATTGTAATGGTTCTTATATATCTTAAGGCTTTTTAAATCTTTTAAAATCTCACTCTTTTTCTTGTAATTTCTTTTTTGAAAAGAACAGACATTGGCACCCTTCTTAACAATCAACTAGAAATGTATGGACTTATTTCTGGACTCTCAGATCAATTCCATTCATCTATGTGCCTGCCCTTATGCCACATTATATCTGATTACTGTAAGTTTTCTAAGTAAACAAAATGTTTTAATTACTGTAAATTTGAAATCAGGAAGTGTGAGTCCTCCAACCTTGTCTTTTTTTTCCAAGATTGCTTTTGCTATTCTGTGTCCTTTGCAATTCCATATGAATTTTAGGATTACTTTGTCAATTTCTGAAAAACAGGCATTTGGAATTTTCATAGGTATTATACTAAATCTGCAGATTAGTTTGGGGAATTTGCTGTTTTAACATTAGTAATTCCTCCAAACTGTGAAAACAGAATATATTTCTATTTATTTTCTTTCATGTTTTTCAACAGTTTTGTAGCTTTGAGTATACAAGTCTTATGCTCTTTGAGTTAAATTTATTACTAAGTATTCTTTTTGATGCTAATGTGAATGTTTATATAATTTCATTTTAGATTGGTCATTGCCAGTGTATTGAAATACAGCTGATTTTTGTATATTGATCATATGTTCTGCAATTTTGCCGAATTTGTGTATCAGCTCTAATTTTTTTCATAGATTATTTAGGACATTCTAAACATTGGATAATGTCACTTGCAAATATAGGTAGTTTTGTTTCCAATCAGATGCATTTTATTTTTTTCTCTTACTTATTGCCCTGACTAGAACCTCAAGAACACTGTTGAGTAGAAGTGGCAAGAACAAATGTCGTCTTGTTCCTGATCTTGGAGGAAAAGCATCCATTCTTTTACTATTAAATATGATGTTAGCTATTGATTTTTCCAAGATGTCTTTTATCGGGTTGCGAACGTTCCTTTCCATTCCTAGTTTGTTGAGTATTTTTATCATGAAAGGATGTTGGATTTTCGTCAAATGCTTTTTCTGCATCTACTGAGATGACTGTGTGGGTTTTTTCCTTTATTCTGTTAATATGATGCATTACATTGATTGGTTTTTCTATGTTGAACCAACCTTGCATTCACAAGATTAGTCTTGCTTGGTCATAATGTATAATCCTTTTTATTTGCCTCTGGTTTTGGTTTGCCAGTGTGTTGAAGATTTTTGCATATATATCCATCATGGATATTGGTCTGTAGTTTTCTTTTTTTGTGATTTATTTGTCTAGTTCTGGTATCAGAGTAATGTTGGCTTTCTGTAATGAATTAAGAAGTGTTACCTATTTTTTAAGAGAGTTTTAGAAAGATTGTTGACAGTTCTTTAAACATTGGTAGAACTCACCAGTGAAGCCTCTGGTCCTGACTTTTCTTTATTAAAAATTTTTTTTACTATTAATGCAGTCTCTTTCTTTGCTACTAATGTATTCTGATTTTCCATTTCTTGTAATATCATAGCTATAAGGTAAAAGCCAAACACATAAAGCTTCTGGAAAGAAACATATCTTGCAGACCTTAGAGTAGGCAAAATTTCATACAACACAAAAATACTAACCAGAGGAAAAATAGTTGATACATTAGATTTTATCAAAATTAGAAATTCCTGTTTATCAAAAGAGAACATTAAGAAAACAATTGGGCAAGCCATGGATTAAGAATAAAATATTTTTCATGCATTTATCTGATAAAAGACTTGCATCTAGACTATATAAATAAACAATAAAAAAGACAGTGCAAGAAAAGTGTATAAAAACTTGAACAAACACTTCACAAAAAAATATTTAAATGGATAAATATCACATGAAAAGTATTCAACATCATTAATCATTGGAAATAACAACTTAAAACCACAAAGGGATACCATTCCCACCCACTAGAATAGCTAAATAATGACAAAACAGATGGTTTTTGTTTTTTGGGGTTTTTTTTGAAAAAAAAGAAAACACTAGAATAACTAAAACAACACTAAAGATTGGTGAGGTTGTGGAGCTGCTGAGACTCTGATTTATTGATGGGAATTTAAAATGATATAAACACTTTAGAGAACGGTTTAGCTTTTATTTTATATACAGAAAATAAATATCTGTATCTATATAGATATTTATAGATATCTATCCTATAACCTAGCAATTTTGTTCCAAGGTTTCCCAAAGAAATAAAATATATCCACGAAAATACATGTATAAGAATGTTCTTAGCAATTTAATTTGTAATAAGTAAATCATAATAAATGAACTTAATTTATAATAAGTGAATAATTTTCAAACTGGAAATACCCTAAATGTCCTTCAGTAGGAGAGAAGGAAAACAAATTCTGCTATATTTATGCAGAGGAATACTACTCAACAGTTAAAAAAACAAAACAAAACATTACTACCACACACAACAACACAGAGGATCTCAGAAACATGTAGAACAAAAGAAGCCAAACACAAAAGTTATGTACTTAATTTCTATAAAGTTCAAGAATAGGCAAAACTATCTGTGGTTATAGAAATTAGAAAGTGATTTTCTCTGGACTGGAATTTGAGTGGGACTACAAGAGAACCTTCTAGGTTGATTGAAATGTTCTATACCTCGGGTGGTAGTTGCATCAGTGAATACAATTGTCAGAATGCTTCAAGTTGAACACTTAAGATATGTGCATTTTATTGTATGTAAGTCATAAATAGACAAAAATATATTTGAGATTGAATTCACTTTATATTCTGAAAAATATGAGGACATATGAAGGCATGATAGGAAACAGCCCTGAAAATATATAAAACTTCTTAAAGATTAGTATGAGAGAATACTAATGAAATAGTAATATCTTTAATATTCAGATTAATACTTTAATATCTTAAAATTATGGAACAATAATAAGCGCAAATAAAAACACTAGTGTATCAACTTTTTAGCCAATTAAAAAAATTACTTGTTAAAATTTTTTTATCAAAGTAAAATTTATTGTGAAATTCACAGATTGTTAGTGTACAATTCAGTGAATTTTAATAGATGCGTTCCCCTGTATATTAAATACACAGTTAAGAAATTGAACATTTCTGTCACCACAGATCTAATATATTGGCTGTATTCTTTCCCTGCTCTCCCTATAACATCACTGAAGTAAGTGCAAAATACTTTTATTCTCCATAATTACCATTAAAAATAACAGCAAAACTCCAAGATTACTAGAACTATTAAGGATGATAATTGTGGCAACTGATCAGAAGTTAGTAGATATCTAGGACTCTTCTAGGAACTCTAGGCCCAAGTTGTGAAAAGTTTCTGAGACAGCTAATATTTAGTCTTCTCATGTAAATTCCATAATTAGTACCAGTAATGCATAATAATATCTTAGGTGAGATAGATGTTCCAATAACCTAATTAGCCAGTATAAATTTATAAAGAATTATCTCCCTTTTGCTGCCCTAACTTTTCTTTTGTTTCTGGTTGTCCAAATACAGTACAGTACTATAGTACCTGTATTTTAAATATTTCAGTGATAGCATAGGCTGGTAGTTCATAATAATAACAGATCCTTTATATCCCAAATTTGTTACTGAAAAAACCCTTAGTACTTTTTAGACTGTTTATAATAGGTAAAAATAAATTTCAGGCATCTTTTTGGTAGAATATGCTTTAAACAAGGTGATGAAGCAAGCTACAATTTGTGAAAGATATTGAAGGAGAACATCATATATATTTGAAATTATGGAGAGAGCATTCATTTCTTTCTTTCTTTTTTTTTTAGGTAGAAAAATCAATGCCCTAACCTTATGTCATGAATGTACAAAGTTTGACCTTGTTACAAAAAGTATAATGGCATTTGGACTAATTATAGAATTTTTTTTTAGCGATGGTATTAAATATCTCTAAGGAGTCAGTAAATATTATAAGCAGTTGTAAATTATTAAAGTAGTTGTGACTTATCTGATATCTATTTTCTTACATTTTGTTTACATCCTGAATTCTTTGCCTTCTCTACTCAGATCTTTTTTCACTTTTTCTTCCTCTTTTTCTAAAGTATCTGGTAGGTAGCACTTATCATTGCTGAGTGAGAAGAATGCTAGGCTTCTCAGTTAATAGTTCAGTCTTCTCTTAAATCCAGGTCCTCTAAACTTCTGTTGTGGGAGACTCATCAGTGCTCAAGACCTTCAATGTTTTGCAGATGGTAGAATGGAAATTCTTAGATGAATTCTAGGGTCACTTTCAAGCATCTTCAAAGTTTAAAAGTTAGAGGATCTTGATAAAACTTTGAGAGGAAAAAACTTAGAGATGTAAGATTATGCTTTGTGTATATCAGTAGGCAGTTATATAAAAATGGTATTTACTGAAGGTCATTTAGTGGGTTAGTAGGAAAAGGTAGATTTTCTTTTTCCCTCTAAGTATAGTAATTGTAGACAAACATTTTTCTTTTAACCAACACAGATGACCAAAAACAAGAAAGCAAAAGAGAAGCCTAACTATTTTTAAGGTGAGGGAAGAGAAAAATGTACACACACGCACACACAGACACACACACACAAAGACTTATTTTATGAAAGCTAGAAAATTGTTTTCAAGGAGAAATGTATGATCTACAGTTACAATGTTTAGATATTTGGCAATTGGAAAAAATAATTTTTTGGTGAGAATAGGAAAACAGATTGACATAAATGTACATTAGGGTAGTGACTTTCATTTCTTGTACATACACAGTGAAATAGTTTTGGGCAATAAATTCTTGGAAAAGTAGGGTAGGATTGGTTAAATGTCATAGTTTATGACTGAATACATATAAACAGGTGAAAACTCAAGATGGAGAGGTAATAATAACCACCTGATAAAGAGACTTAAAACTCATTCACCCTACAAAAAAGATTGCTTTAGAGTTGTAACTTGATATTATAGTTTGATTTTTTTTAAAGATATTGGTTATATTTGGGGCTACTGTGGGTACATAAAGAATGGAATGCTTTTTGTTCCTTTAATACAAAGTATTTATCATTTTTAAAAAGTCTTAACTATAAAAAAAATTGATGCCATAGATTTACCAAAATTATTGAGAAATTTGACACAGCCACTATTTCTGCCATGGTGTCTTAAAAATAAAGAATAGTTGACAATGGAGAATTACATAACTATTGCAAGACAGCTACCAAGCTAAAATTCAGTTCTACAATATTGTCAACATATCCTGAACCTTCAGACCTTTCGTTTATCCCCTAAATCCACCATAGGATGTCTAGATTTCAGGTTTTTCATGCCTTTTACTTTCACGTACCTAAGCCTCACTTCTCCCCGTCACAGGAATCATTCTGTGAGATCACTGCAGCCCACTTTGATTTTCCATCTCCTCTTAATTTTTTTAGCACACATCTTCCCTTAAGACCTCTTCTCTGCTCTCAATGAGTCCCAAACAATTTGTTCTATTTGTACACATTAGTTAGCAAATCCTGGGAGATTCATAAGCATTATAGAAAAAAAGTTTAAAGGGAATTCAGAAGAGCAAAGAATTAATAGTATGATAATTGGGTGTTTGGAAGAAGTGGATTATGAATGAGGACCTAAACCAAAGAAAGACTAGATTCTGGAGAACTAAGAGAGAGAGAGAGAGCTGAGGCCCAGATGCATATAGCCTAGTGACTGGGATTACAGGTGTCATTTAATATTGGATGAATGCACTAATGGACAAATGAATATATTCTGTTTAGAGTGACTTGGCCAAGTTTATTGGACTGTTCCTTTTAAGTCATTTATTTATCACATTTTTTAAAATAAATGTATTTATTTAAATTAGTTTCAAGTATACAGTACCTTGGTTAGACATCTATATAGTTCATAAAACAATCCCCGCATTTGCTCCCTCCCTCCCCTGGCCCTCCACCTAGCCCTCATATTAATGCTAACTGCATTCCCTATGCCGTGCTCCCCATCCCCGTGACCATCCATCAGCTACTAATTTGCACTTCACTCCATTCTCCCAGCCCCCGACCCCTCTCCCCTCTGTCCATCATCAGATTGTCCACTATATTTGTGAGTCTGTTTTTGATTAGTTTGTTTTCTTTGTTCCTTAGATTCTGCATATAAGTGAAATCATATGGTATTTATCTTTGTCTGACTTATTTCACTCAGCATAGGAACCTCTAGGTCCATCCATGTCATTGTAAATGGTAGGATTTAATTTTTTTTTTTAATGGCTGAGTAATAGTCCATTGTACATATGAACCATAATTTTTTTATTCAATCATCTGTTGATGGGCATTTAGGTTGCTTCCATATGTTGGCTATTGTAAATTGTGCTGCCATGAATATTGGGGTGCATAGATCTTTATGAATTATTGTTTTGGTCATTTATCACATTTTTGAGTTCTATGGTACAAAGATGAAGAAATGATATTTGTTTTCAGGAACTTAAGTTCTAATGAGACAGAGAAAAATGTAAAAAAATTTGGCAACTCCAATAGGAGGTATGCACAAGGTCTATGGGAACACAGAGGAGGAAGTTGCAGAGAGGATTTCTGTAGGATAGGCCAAACTCTCAAAGATTTTAAATTCCATACTCAATTGTTTGAACATTATTTTGGTTATCAGTAAGACAAGACACTGACAGAGCAACTTTGGAAGGTTTAGGACAATACTAATACTTCCTAAGATTTTCTCGTGGGTTTTAATAAGAGACATTTTTTGAGAGTTTCTCTGGCCTAGCCCCATAATTCAGGTTCAGCCAACAGCAAAAGTCAGGATGTAATTGGGAGAGTCAGCCATCTCTAAGTTTTTAGGAAATACCATCTCATAAGGTAGTAACCCTTTAATGTTAAAATGTCCTAAATATCAAATTGAGATGCCCTAATTAGTGTGGTGACCTGAAATATGTATATAACTTTAAAAAAATAATGTTCACTTTGAAGGTGATAATTGAGTAGATTTAAAATCTGAAAGAGAGGAAAAGGAAAAGAGTATTGGTTGAATTTTGTGAGTTTTCAAAGGCATTTTCAAAGATATTTAACTAAACAAGTAATTTTGTCCCAAATTAATATTTATTTCCAGTCATTTGATCCTTCAGAAATTACAAGGAAGAGAAGTATTACAAATTATTCTCCAACAACTGGAACCTGTCGAATGAGCCCATTTGCATCTCCCACAAGCTCTAAAGTACAAGAGTACAAAAATGGACCATCAAATGGTTAGTCGAGCCTTCTTTTTCATTTACTGTAATATTTTTCTAGTTCTTGGTTAAATCAAAATTGTAATTTAGTAATATATGGATCCTGCTGCAGCTGATTTTTTTCTTCTTAAAGACTTCAGAGAAATGGCTAGAATATAGGTATTACTTTGGACGTAAATGTAAACTTTTTAGGGACTTATTTTAAAATGCTCCTACAGACTTTGTTCTCTCACTGTCCTATCCATTAAATAGAAATTATGGCCTGACTGCCTTCAGCTACTATCAATTATAATGGTTACAGATACGCCTCGTAACAAGCTATCCATCATATACATAAATTAAAGGGCACATAATTCAGGTACAACTGCACTACAGTTTAAGATTGATACTTCTAAATGTTATTTTATACATGTTGTGCATTTAGTTTTATCCACACTTTGTGTATCTTTATATGACTACTTTTATTTATTATATTTCATTCCCTTTTTTCCTTTACTATTTTAAACGCATTTGCACAAGGTTTGTAGAACTTTCCAAAAGAGATTAACCTAATTTTAAAATGAAATTATTTTAAAACATTGTTAGTTTAAATTTGATCATACGTATTTCTTGTTCTCTGGTTGTTTATTACTGAACTATTTATTTAAAAGATATAGAAATCTGGATTTCATAGATTTAATTTTTTAATGTTGGAAAAGTTTATGAATCAGTGACATGTTAAGTTTCTGTAATGTAAAATTTTAAGTAGACTCAATTTAATAAACTATATTTTGGATATGCTGTGATTAGCCTAATTCATATTTTATTGTTTCACATTTGAGCGCTAAGCATATACTTGAAGCTACACAGAAACAAAGAAGTCTTCTCATTTTACTTAATTTATTGTAATGAAACCCATAATGAGATCTCAAACTTTTGAATGACTTATTTTACTCTAATCAAATGTTTTTTATCTTCAAGTTATCACTATTAGATTTGCTTTCACAAAAATGTATGAAGATGTATACATTTTCTTCAAGTTCTGTCATTGTTTTTTATACACTTGATATATCTTTTATTAAAAATTCAAAATTAGTGCCTTAGAGATGGCACATTTCTATACTAAAATGTGAATAGATTTTAAGTGGATATGTACTCAGTTTCCACATTGAAATTAAATATGGACTTAAGGGAACATTCCTTTTGCCCATAAAAAGATTGGTCACATGATTCCAGTCGACATTTAAGTGGATAATTATCACAGATTATAATACTAAGTTAGCTCTTTTTTAAAAAGTCATATAGCAAGGTTCCTGGGGAGCTGGTAATATTCTATTTCTTAATCTATATTATGGTTACACTGGTTCACTGTAATTATTCATTAAATTATACATGTGTATTTTATATACTCATATATGTGTGTGTATATATGTATATATATATATTTTACATACAGATATATATTTCAAAGAAGAAGAATTCCATGTAGGCTCTTATGTCATATTGTCATCTTACACATGTTTTAGAAATAAGAAAGCCTGACTTATGAAATAATTTAAGTTCCAAATGAAGTCATAACTTCTGTTAACTATCCTCACTTTTTAAATATTGTACAAAACATGAGGTACATTTTAAGTAAGCATTTTTATCTAACATTTCAAGAACATTTTAGGTACTACTCACTTCCCATCACACTTAGGATTTAATTCAGAACGTTATCATGACTTTTAAGGCCTTACATCATCTAATATTAAAGCATATCATCTGCCTCTTTTTTACTACCCTTCCCATGTTTACACTATGTTAGCCACTTTTATTTTCTTGCTATTTGTCAATCATGCTGAACCCCTTCCCACCACAAGGTCATTACACTTGCAGTTCTCTCAGTCTGGAATATTCTTCCTCCAGGTATTTATATGAACTTTATATATATAGCTGAACCATGTACTGTATGAAGAGATGACAATATTAAATTTAAATCCATTTGTAGTTATAAAAGGAAGAAATATCTAGTTCTTAGTCTTCCCTCTACTTAGACTCTGCATGGGCCAAAAATAGGGTGACTGGTTCCAGCTCATACATTTAATTAAGATACACACACACACACATACACACACACACACACACACACACACACACACACACATTTATTTATCACCATTTATATTTATTATATTTATATATATTTGTGTGTATATATTATTATATCGTTGCCCTCTTCTACCCCTTAGCAAATTTTTCCAAACTGTTAATGCTTTTCAGAGAACAGGAAGGATGGTAATTTTTTTCCTTTCTTTGCTCCCAAGAATGCATCAGACTTATTTTTTTAATAATATTGAAGGATAAACAACAAATTCATATAGTCAGAGTGTATACTTATAAATTAAACAGTCGATATGTAGAAATCACCCAGACTTTAGCAATGTAACAGCACAGAGAAATAAAAGATGGAGAATATAGTAAAACAGTGAAGAGAAGTGATGGATAGAATAAGAAGCTCCAATGTATGTCAAATAGGAGTTCCACAAGGAGAAAATAGAATGGGGCAGAGGCAGTTTTCTAAAATATAAGGACTATCGGTTTTTCATAATTAAGGAAAGAGGAATTTCCAGATTAGAATAAAATGGCTGGTCTGAGCAGGACGAATTAAAACAGATCCACACCTAACCGTATCGTGCTAAACTCTACAACATCAGACACCAAGAGAAAATTTTAAAGGCAGCCAGAGGAAAAAACATATTACCTACAAGGGAATGACAAAGTGATAGATTTCTCTTTATTATCAATAATCTACAGCAGGAAATGGAATAATAATACCATCTAAAAGTCACAGCTGAAATTTTTTATTCAGGAAGTGAAGATGAAATAAAGATATTTTCAGACCAAATCTAAGAATTTACCATTCACAGATCCTCCCGTGAAAGGACTACTAAAGAATGTACTTCTATAAGAAGCAAATGGAGCCTCAAGTAAAGGATGGAATGTAAGGAGCAATGATGAAAAAGTAAATTAGCAAACAAATTGGTAAATCTAATTATACATTTAGTGACAAAAATATGATTATAAGTTTGCTGACCAAAAGCAAAAAGAACAATTTGGGGTGGGAGTGTGGGGTAAAAATTAATAATAGACCATAATAATAGCATGGAAGATAAATGGATCAGAAAAGAGTTAGTATTTTAAGGTTCTTGTAATTTTCAGGGAGCAGATAGAATATCTGTAAATTGACTTTTTAATTGTGTTTTTACTTGTAAAATGGGGAATTAATAATATCTACTTCAGAATCGTTGTGAGAACTAAATGAAATAATATACAAAAAGGACTTAGAATAGTGTCTGACATATAGTAAGGTTCAATACATATTTTAGTTATTTTTATTAATATTATTATTTCGACTTTAAGCCATAGGACAAGTAAATGTAAAAGGACAGAAAAAGAAAACAAAGTAATTATTAGCTTTTAAATGAAACTAATAGTTGACGTAAGAATATTAATGTGAACGTAGACCAAAACAGACTTTAGGGCCAAAAGGCTTTATTAACGATAATGGGAATCTTTACATAATTAGAGAAAGAAAGACTTAACACCAGAAAAAGTATCTTCAGCCTCCGTGCATGTAAAACAAAAACTCAAACAAAACATGATGAAATAGTGTAGAATTATAAGGAGAAATTCACAAATCCCTAACCATGGTAGGAAATTTTAAACTACCTCTTTCATAAATCAATGGAATGGATAAAAAGGAAGGATGTAGTTGAACACAACTAGCAAATTTGATATAATGAGCTGTTGTCAAACAAAGGTAATATTCAGCATACAATAAAGCCCATAATTCCATCATACTAAAATTTGCTATCACACAGATCACATTCCCTAACCAAAATTTTGTGCAATTAAGAATCAATAATAAAAAGCAATCCTCATGAGTTTAGGAACCAAAAAACTTCTAAATAATTCACTGATCAGAAAAATCATAATGGAAACTACAAAATACTAGGAATTGAATGATAATGGAAATATGTCTGCACTTAGAGGAAAAATTTATACCTAAATACTGCATTATATCAAAACAATTTCTAGTGGAAAATTTATACTTAAAATGCACATATTCAAAATGGAAGAGTAATTGAAACTGAGACAAGCATTCAACTGAAAAAGAAAGAAAAAGAACAATAAAATGAATCTGAAAAAGCAGACAATAGTAAATGATATAAACAAATTATTGAATAGAAAACAAGAGATGATGTTAAAGAAAAGCAACAAAATCAAAAGTGGGTTCTTTAAAAAGAGTAATCAAATGGTAGGCCTCTGGCAAGACTGATTTTTTTAAATGGGAGAAGGAACAGACTATATATATTTTAAAAGAGCTGATAAACTACTGTTTGAATATACGATGTGCAATTTGAAATATGTGAGCCAAATACTTCTTAATGTCCACGATCTAATCTGGGTGAAAGAATTTAAAACTTATAATTCTGTTGTTGCTTCTCAAATATTAATGTTTTAGTAAGGAAAAAGCAGTTCCAATTTTCTCATTGATACTTTTCTACTCAATGATATAGATAATACCTAAGATACTTATATTTTCTTCCATAAGACTCAGTAAAGGTATTTTGAATTTTAAAAAAAGTACTGTTAACATTGTTATTTTTCATGAATTTATCCTCTAAAGAACCTCTAAATTGAACCTCTAATTGAACCTCTAAAGAGATTCTTCATTCTCAACTCTTGCTTACTAATATAAAATTGGTTAATTAAAAGAATAACAGGATCCCATTTCTCCTTTAGCCTACAATCTCCAACTTGATCTGGCAACAGCTGTTGAGAAAAGTTGCTAACTAGTACGTGACACCTTAGACAGATCATTTGAACCTTTCTGGGTCAAGGTTTTTTCAAGTTTATGACTTTTGGTTTGGGACCTAATGATGCCTGAGATGTGTGCCAGCTGTAAAGTATAAGTATCTAGAAGCAGCATGATACCAGCCTAAACTTGTTTGAAATTCAGATTAATCTATTAATAAATAAGCATAGCATTCTGGTTAAGAGCACAGTCTTTGCAGTCAGATGGTTGGGTTTATATCCTGACTCTACCACTTACTAGCTTTAGGGCCTGGGATAAATTAAGTAAACCATTCTGTTCCTCTATTTCCTCATCTGGAAAGTGGGAATAAGAGTTACTACTTCAGAGTTGTGCAGATTAATTAATTAATATATGTCGCATTTAAAACCATGCCTGGCACTAAAATTACTGTCATAAGTGTTAGCTGTTATCATCCTCATCGATTGTACTTCTCTACATGTTATGATCTGTTGAAAATTATCTTTGTTAGTTAAGAACGGAGTCCCTGGAGCCTTACCAGAAAGTCCAAATACAATTTTAAATGTCCAGATTAGGTGGTGGTACAGTGTTTTTGCAAAATTGCATTTAAAGGGAGTCAAGTACAGAACTGTTTCTTATGTATAACCTAGAGAGAAAAAAAATATAGAGTCCACAGCCCTTTAGCTTGCGTTAATTGCTAATGAATGGAATGAAATAACAGAAAGTAATTATTAAGTAACTGGAAGACTCTTAATGATATATTAGTGTCTACTCAACAGTCTTTGATAATTGATCCAAGTGTTATTCTTAGAGACATTAAAATTTCTCTTATTTAACAATTGAAAGTCTATTAAAAACATAACTTCTTCCGTGAAAAGATTGAGATTAATGCTATTGGTTACATTTTGTAGGATAGATCTTGACTAATCTTGTACAATAATGTTTAGAAATGCATTGAACAACTGGTGAAAATTCAAATAAACCTTTCTTTTACTATTTCTCACTTAACATTACTGACTGCTGGTGCTAAAATATGAAAATTAATTACAAAGGAACAGTAATTTTAATATTTAATCGTGAAGTTTTATTGAATGCAGAAGGCATAGTATAAAATTTAGGAAATTAGTGCTAATTTTCAGAAATAAAGGTTTAATATGTACTGTGGATTTTCATTTGTGGTTTTCTATAAAACGTACATTCCCAGCTTGATTTTTTTTTTTAGAGACAGATTTTAATAAATTTATTTCCTCAAAAGTTCTCTAAAATCAAATATTGTTACCTTTTACCCTTCTATTTTTTGTTAAATAAACTCAATCATATTAATAAATTTTGTTTGGAATTTAAGGACACAGACAAGTCAAATAATAAAAACTTAATAAACAAGTAGCTAGTACTTTAACAAAATTTCTAAATCACAGATTTTCTTTTTATCATTAACATGTATTTTGAGATAACAGTTTAGTTACAATATAATTTTTTTGAGAGAAGGTATAAGGTTCAAAGTAATAATAAAGGAAATTATTATTAATCAGTTTCTGAACAAACTTAATGGAATTATAAATACCAGTGCATAGAAAATATACTTTAAATAAGCTTTTCTTCTAGTAATAGGAGAAAGTTAAGATCAATGAAATAAAAATTAAATGAAGAAGAAAATCTAAACCAGGATTGGAAAGTCTGTTCCAGACAATATATTTCTTAATATGTTAATAAATTACATTTGAAAATTTAAATTGCTTTCATGTTATCTGTTATTTGGTTTCATCTGGAAGTATTGGATCCTCCTGCAGTATTATCGTAGAGCTGTACTGTTTAATACATGTAGATTGAGCATTTGGAATGTAGCTTGTCTGAATTGAGATGTGCTGTAAGTGTAAAATACCACATATCAAAGATTTAGTGTGAAAACAAGAATATTTATTATGTTATTAATAATTTTATATTGATCATATGTTTAAGTCGTAATATTTGGGGTATGCTGGGTTAAATGAAATATTAAAATTTATCTCACCTGTTTTCCCTTTTTTAAAAATTTTGCTAGTGGATTTTAAATTATATTAAATAGCTTATATTATAGTTCTGTTGGAGAGTGAGACAGTTTTTCATGGTACATTGTATCATTTTTTTAGAAAAATAATGAAAACATTGAGTAAATAATAGTTTCTGTACCAGTTGTTGAACAGACGGAACTACATAAAAATATGTAGCATGAGGAGGGTGTCATCATTTTTACATTTTAAAAAGTTATTTCTCAGTCTACGGCCATGCCACCCTAAACATGCCTGATCCCATCTGATCTCGGAAGCTAAACAGGGTCGGGCCTGGTTAGTACTTGGATGGGAGACCACCTAGGAAGACCAGGTGTTGTAGGCATTTAAAAAAAAAAAAAAAAAGTGATTTCTCAGCTGTTTTTCATTAGTAGTAAAGAGTTTAGGTTATTCATTCATTTGCTTGTTTATTCATTCAGTAAACATTTATCAAAGGCTAATGTACATAAAACACTGAGAATCTTCAACTGTGCAAATGTATCCTCAGATACTTATTATACATTGAATATGTTTCAAAGTGTAAAGTGTATATTGTATATAAAAGTACTGTAGAAGAAACAACTAAATGGTTAGCTCATTAAACAATTATTTACTTGACCACTAATAAGTGCAAACCTTATGTTCTGCTAAAGCTATAACATCAAACTTAAATTTCAACCCAGAACATATTCGAAGGATAACTTAGTTTCTCTAGTTTTCTCTTTAATATACTAAGCCACAATGGAAAATTTTTTCAATTGTTGTTTTTCTATATGATGTCATCATGAATAAAAAATAAGATTGGAAATGAAAAAAACAATAGCTATTGAAAAGTTATTCATAATAAAAATTTTTTCTGAGCAAATTTCAGGATACTTTTTCTTTTCCTACTTCCCTTTCATTTGTCTACACTTTTATTTTCTATTTAATTTGGCAATCTAAATTCTATTTAAAATTTGACAATTTTCCCTTTATGTTCTTTTTATTGCACATGTATAGGAAAGAGAAAAAAGCTGAATCATCTCAGTTTAACCAAAAGAAAGGAATCTACAACAAAAGATGATGAGTAAGTTTGTTTTTGAAATAATATACATGTCTTCAAAACAAAAGGGTCATATTTGTTAGTGATAATTTAAGAGAAATCATATCTTTGCAGAAATTAGTAAATGGAGTAAATAGTTATACCTGAGTTTTGAAGTATTCTTTCTTAAAGAAGAACTTTGTGATGTGTTTTGTAGTGATCATAAAATGAAGATAAACGATATCTTAATTTTAATACTCATTGAGCCCAGTTTTCCCAGCCTATACATAAGAAACCAGCTTAGGGTAAAACTGAGGAAAACACTTTACCTGATTTACATTATCTGGGAACATAATGCCTAACAAATAGTAGGTTCAAGAGCTAGGAACACAGTGAAGCCAGCAAAGTAAGGGATCTAGGGGAACTTAGAAGGCTTACATGCCAGCAACCAATCATTTTGATATTGGCCTGGCAATGGTGCCTTGAGTGAAATCATTATCTGCAGAAAGCCACTGCCTATGTATTCTGGAAGGAATAGTTATATCCACTGGGGCTAGAAAAATTGAATTAAACAGAACAGGGGTTAAATTTTCAAAGTAGTTTATATTTTCAGCTCATTTACCCTTTCAGCTGTATGTTCTCTGTGCCACACAATATGATGAAGTAGTAGAGATGAAGAAAATAGTTTCTGCCTATAGGGAACTTACAGTCTTATGATGTAAGTTAATATATCTTCCCAACTTAGAAGTGGGTTGTGGGTAATGTTTCAGAATGTTTTAAAATCATTTGAGTGGAACTCAGAATAAATTTTCCATACAAATAGTGTTGTAATTTGTGGTTACAACCTCTGGGGAATGTTTTTGGACAACAGTGATAACCATGTAAACAAGCCAGAAATACCTATTCTATTGCTCTCCCCCTGAATCAGCTCCACTTAAGCTATTCTAACTTTTTATAGTTTCTTCCCTTCCTTCTTCTTCTGACCCATTCACATGCTTATAGCTCTAGATTTTTAACAATAGCTCCTATATCAGTGAGCTTTTGAGTAGCAAGGCAGGAGCAAGAACCTTTGTTATGGGTCAATTAAGAATTTGCCTCTGGTTATTTAATTTCTCTCAATATTTCTAAAAATCCCAGTTATTATTGTATATCACTCTATGAGTTGGTATTAAAATTAGTGAATTTAAGTATAAGCCACAATATTTTATAATACATAAAAATTATGGGTTTCTAATTGTTTTTTTCCACTCATTGTAAAATTACTCAGTCTTAGTCAATAAAACCATTTTATTAGCTTCAATAATGAGTTCTTCATTTATTCCATTTATTTAGATTTCTTTATTATTTTGTGAAACCATTCCAAAAAATTGGATTTTTAAAATCTCAAACTGAACATTTCATATTTGTAAATCAATTTAAATGGTTCTAACCTTTTTTGTTTTGTTTGGCAATTGTGTAGGTTCGGGTTCTCCATAGAAGCTGAACCAATAGCATATATACATATACATATAATATTATATATTATTATATATTAACATATGTAATAATACTGTGTATGATATATGATATTAATATATTTAGTGCTAATAAAATATATTATTGTAGTAATTAATAATAATGGGTTGATAATAAAGTATATATAACTACATATATAGACAGATTTATTATGAGGAATTAGCTCATGCATTTATGGAGGCTAAGTCCCACTATTTACCTTCTGCTACCTGGAGACCCAGAAAGTCAGAAGTGTAATTCCAGTCCAAGTGTCAAGGCCTGACACCAGGGGAGTTGATGGTGTAAATCCCAGTCCAAGGGCAGAAGAGTGATGTCTTAGCTTAAACAGGCAGGCTGGAACCTGATTCTCCTTTCTTTCGCTTTTTGTTCTATTCAGACCCTCAATCGATTGGATGGTGCTGACCCACTTTGGGGAGAGCAGTCCCCTCTACTGAGTCAGTTGTTACTAAGTTGGTTGCACAGTGGGAATTTTCTAACTGCATCACTCCTTCTATTAGTTGGCCTTTTTTAAACTCGTGTGTTCATAGGGATATAGGATTTTTCCTTAAATTCCACCTTTCCATATTTGTACCCCTTCTCAGACAGTAGATCTCTGACTCCTAACAGCAGCAATATATTTACACCTTTGCTTAGTACTACAACATATACAAAATAGTTTCAGACTTCCTGCATTCAGCACTGTTAAAAAGAAACATGCAGAGCATTCAAAATTTGTTTGCATTTTTTTGTCTTTACTTGAAGGTATATGGTCAAATTACTATGTTCAAAACTGCTTGGATTAGTTTTTCGTTTGAAGAAGCATTCATTGAAGTAGTTCGGTTCTCTTGTTTCTGTTTGTATTCGATTTTAATTTTGTCTCTTATCTTTTTTTATTTAATTTTGTTTTTTAACTATGTAAAACGTCAACGTGGTTCCAAAAGTCAAAACATTACAAAAAAGTATTCTCTGAGAAGTGTTACTCCTTGCCCCATTCCTTCTACCTACTCTTGTAGGTAACCAAATTCATTAGTTTCTAGTTTACTGTTCTTACATTTATTTTTATAAACTTAAGCTGTTTTATTTATTTTTTCTCATTTCTCTTCTTATGCAAAGATGACATACAATGTATACTCTTTTTTACTTTTCTTTTTTCACTTATGACTATGTCCTAAAATCATTTTCAGTTAATCAACTTGGCAAGTTTTAATGTAAGAATTCTCTCAACAGGAAAATATAGTTCCATGCCTAGGTTAAAATTTTCTTCCCCCAGACAACAAGCAGTTAGTGACATGTCAATAAAGCTCACTTATAAATAAACACCTACACATTAATATTTTATGTGAACTTCCATATCCTTTATGCTCTGAAAGGAAAATATATAGTTCACTGCCACTGGCTTTTCTTCTTCTTGGCAGTTTGTTGCTGCTGCTGCTGCTGCTGCTGGCACACTATAAAAATGCAATAATGGTGCTTATCCTGTAAGATTTAGTCTCATTAAACTTTATTTTTAGATAATTGTAGGTTTACATGCCATTGTGAGAAGTAAAACACAGATCATGTGTACCCTTTTCCCACTTTCCTGACATAACATCTTTCAAAAACTATAATACAATATCTTAATCAAGAATTGACATTGACACAATCCATTGATCTTTATTCAGATTTGCTTTTTTACATGTACTCATTTGTGTGTGTGTGTGTATGTATTTAGTCCTATGCAATTTTGTCAGGTTTATATATCCACCACCGTAATAGTCAAGATACAGAACACTCCTGTCACTATAAGGATCCCTCCCTCCCATTGTATAAAGCTTATTTTTAATTACTGGCTTATTCTCTTCTAGGTGGAAGAGTAACTTTTTTAGATTTTTAAAAATTTTCTATGCTAACCCAAATAAAATCTTTCTAATAGTAATGAGTTATGCCAGAACTGGGTTTTGTTGTTTGTTTTTTATGTATACAATTAAAATGTGGTAAGTAACCAGAGTTCAGAATTCTGAGTTTCTCTTTACTGTATTTTAAGTATTGAATCGTGCAATGAGAATATTGACTTATAGATCACTTTCTGCTTTAATGAGGGCCTGTAGGGGGGAATTAGTTGAAAATGTTTATCAAAAACTTAGGATGAAGATATACTTATGTCTATATTCTGTAGGTGAACAAAGACTAAGAGAGAAACCAGTATTTACAGGAGATTTATTTTCAACTGTTTAAAATTTTCAATATGAAAGAATGAAAACTTTACCCCCAAAATTAGCAACAGGACAGGCATGCCCACTTTCACCACTGGTATTTAACATATTACTGGAAATTCTACCCAGAACAATTAGACAAGAAAAAGAAAGAAAAGGCACGCCATTGGAAAGGAAGAAATAAAACTATCTCTATTTGCAGAGGACATGATCCTATATATAGAAAATCCCAAAGAATGCCCAAGAAGCTACTAAAGCTAATAAATTCAGCAAAATTACAGGATACAAGATCAACACAAAAACCAGTTGTGTTTCTGTACACTTGCAATGAACAATTTGAAAAGGAACTCAGGATTCAATTTCCTTTACAGTATCATCTAAAAAAATAAAATATCTAGGAATAAATGTAACTAAAGAGGTGAAAGACTTGTACACTTGAAATTACAAAGCATTGCTGAGAGAAATTACAGAAGATTGAAATAAATTGAAAGACATTTTGTGTTCATGGGTAGTAAGAATTAATATTGTTAAGATGTCAATACTTCTACCCAATGTGATCTACAGATTGATTGTAAGCCATATAAAAATTCTAGCATTTGCTGAAATGGAAAATTCTGTCCTCAAATTCATATGAAACTGCATAGACGGACATTAAGGACACTATGCTATGTGACATAAGTCAGACAGAAAGACAAATACTGTATGATACCACTTACATGTGGAATCTAAAAAAAACAAACTTGTAAAAACAAAGAGTAAAATAATGGTTACTAGGGAATGGGGGAATAGGACAAATGTTTAAGAATACAAACTTGCAATGAGTAGGAAATAAGTCATAGAGATCTAATGTACAGTATTCAGCAGTCCCCAACCTTTTTGGCACTAGGGACCAGTGCTCCTATGAGAATCTAATGTCTAATGATCTGAAGTGGAGCTGAGATGGTGATGCTAGCTAGCATTGAGGAGCAGCTGCAAATACAGATGAAGCTTTGCTCACCCACTGCTTACCTCCTGTTGTGTGGTGCAGTTCCTAACAGGCCACGGACCAGTTACTGGGGACCCCTGCAGTTTAGTGGATATAGACAACAATATTTGTATTGTAATCAATAAACTTGCTAAGAGACTAGGACTTAATTATTCCATCCAGGGAGAAAGCTTTTGAGAGCATAATGGGATGAATAGACCTAAACACTGGAAAAAATTTTTTTAACAGGGAGTGTCATTTTTTATATTGTCTAGTTTTTAAAAAATTTAACCAATCTTTCTTAATAGAAAATGCTTTTAATTAACTTTGATTAATTAAAGATGTTCATAAAAATCACCTGGAAATACATATTTCTAGGCCACATTTAGAGATAT